ACCCCTCCCCAATTGTCCTGCTGGAGGACGTCGACGAGGAGGATCACGCGAACCCGACAACGGCCCGCTCCGATCCCGGCCCAACCCATCCGGGGGGTGGCATTGAGCGCGCCCCCAAAGCCCACCCGGAGGCGCCTGCGCGGGAGGGAGGGGCGAATGGGCTGGCTCTTGGGCAGGTGGTTCGCGTGGTGGGGAGCGCCCTGCCAGCCGGCGTCCACCTCTCGCGCGAGGCCCGTTTCGCCTTTCAAAAGGCGGCCACCACCGCGGTGTTGTTGATCGCCAGCCTCGCCGACGAGGAGCGGCGCTTACGGCAAAAAGGACGAAAGCGAAAGACGCTCAGCGTACAGGACGTCCGCGATGCGTTGGAGGCCGCCGGCCTGGGGCACCTCATCCCACTCATGCAAACCCCTGTCAAGCGGAATCGGGAGTGACCAGCCTCATCCTGAAAAGCTTTTTGCCTTTTTTTTAGATTATTTATGGACGAAACCCCAAAGGCACTTTTTAGTTTTAGGGAGGAATCTAATACTATTAAATGTGAAAAAGGGTCAATATGCTCTAAAAAAGTGTATTTTATATACACTTTTTTCCCCTTTTGAGATTTTTTTTGGAGTGCGTGTTGGATGTATTGCAGCATCTTACGTCTATGTTCTGGAGATAACTTATCAACTATTGGAGCTTATAGACAGATTGAAAAAAGGAACGAAAAAATAAACCGTTTTGAAGAATGGGATTTTTTTTCGTATTTATTACACTTTGTGAAGAAGTTTCCTTCTTAATATTCTGAAAAAGGTATCGTCTGTTTGGTGCTAATGATACGAGGGTAGAATTTCTGTTTTTAACGGGCTCTATATTTGTGTTTTTCATTATATTCCTACAACGGAATTAAATATTACTTTTTTCTTCAAATCATTTAAATGAGTACGTGTAAATATGTCTACACGAATTGGCAGAAATGAGCTCCACAGAGAAGGGTTTTTCCTGCCTTGCTTCTTGTGTTGTGCCTTTTGAAGGCATTAGTTCTATGCTTTTATTGAAGCCGTGAGATTATGGGTTGAAGCGCAACAAACGGGCTACTATTATATAGCCTAATCATGGAAGTAGGATGACGCTACTGCTATGCAGCAATGCAGTGCTTCAAGCACCCTTTGTACTTTTTTTTTAACCTACATGGATACTTAAATAATCTGAATTATAGTTGATGCATTTAATGTAGTAGACTTGTCCATGTTTTCAATGCAGCTTCATTTTTGGATCTTCCAAGGGGTGAATGCAGTAAATTTTACTTTCCATAGATCAATAACCCTCTACATCAACTTGACAAATAACCGATGTTTTGGACGTTTTATTGTTGGAAAAGGTTATTATCCCAGTGTCTTGTTCTTTTTCAGTTTGGATTTCCCGCATAGATCTTCATTGCTGTTCAGAATTCTTATCACAGGGCGGAGTATGTGAAAGAAACATAGCACCCATGCGTTCGCATATATATAATATATACATGCAACCTATTACACGAAAAAGGAAAGTTTTAAATTCTGCGTACTCGGCATTAAGCCTGTTCAAAAACCAGGGTACCCTTTAACAGCATGATTGAGCTTTTAGCTGTCTTTTCCTTTCACCACACGTATGAGCGAAGCGGTCTTTCCACGCGAAGGCCTGTATGAATCCCTCTATTCTTTCCTTTCTCTTTTCTATTGATTCCTTGTTTGCCCCTTCTTTCCATCCTCGCCGGGCGGAGTAGGCCAAAGTCACCCAACCCCGCTATCCCCCTTTACCGGCCATGCTACGGAAGGCGGTGGCCCTGCGTCTGAAGTACGGCTCGACGCCGAAGGAGATCCGCTACGGCGTGGAGGCCCGCCAGGCGCTGCTGGACGGGGTGGAGAACCTCGTCCGGGCCGTGGGGGTGACCCTGGGGCCGAAGGGCCGCAACGTCGTGCTGGAGATCCCCTACGCGGGGCCGAAGATCACCAAGGACGGCGTCACGGTCGCGAAGCACATCGAGTTCGAGAACAGCTTCGAGAACCTCGGGGCGAACCTCGTGCGGCAGGTCGCGGGCCTCACCAACGACAACGCCGGGGACGGGACTACGACGGCGACGATCCTCTCCGGCGCGATTTTCCGGGAGGGCTACCGAAGCGTCTCCACCGGCACCAACCCCATGGACCTCAAGCGCGGCATCGACCTCGCCTCCCGCGAGGTTTTGCTTTCCCTCGCGGAGCAGTCGAGGCCGGTGACGTCGAAGTCGGAAATCACGCAGGTGGCGATGATTTCGTCGAATATGGACGCCGAAATCGGCGCGTTGATCGGCGATGCGATGCAGCAGGTCGGCAAGGATGGGGTAATTACCACACAGGAAGGGCGCTCGTTAAATACGGAGCTGGAGTTGGTGGAGGGGATGTCAATTGAGCAGGGCTTTACCTCGCCTTACTTTGTAACGAATACGAAAGCGCAGAAATGTGAAATCGAGGGGCCTTTTGTGTTCGTAGCGAATCGAAAGCTTAGTAGCGTTGCGCATATCCTACCTGCACTGAATTACGCAATTCAACAGAAACGTCCACTTTTGGTGCTCGCCGAGGAGGTTGATGGCGAGGCGATGCATACGTTTTTGTATAATAAAATACAGGGTCGGATTCAGGGCTGCGTGGTGAAAGCCCCGGGGTTTGGGGATGCACGAATCAATCAACTCCAAGATATCGCCGTTTTCACCGGCGCACAAATGGTTTCCGAGGACCTCGGGCTCTCGCTTGATCGGAATGACTTCTCCGAGGGCCTCCTCGGCTCCTGCGGGAAGGCGACGATCTCGCGGGATGAGTGTATTCTAATGGAGGGCGGCGGAAGCGCGATCGCGATTGAGGAGCGGGTGCAGATGATTAAGGATATGATCTCCGCTGAGGATCACGAGTTTAACCGTGAGCGGCTCGTCGAGCGTCTGGCGAAGCTCTCTGGAGGTGTAGCGGTGATAAAAGTTGGCGGCGCCTCAGAAGTGGAGATTAATGAGAAAAAAGATCGTAT